CACCGGCCATCCCTATATAGGATCCGAACCCACGGCAGGAGCGCTGCTGCGCTCCCAGCGCTGCACTCTCCCGAGTGAGCCACAGGGTCAGCCCTATAATCATGTACTTTTGAATTTTAATTTTATTTTCTTAGATCTGCATACTTATTTTTCACCTCAATCTATTATCATCTCATTTTTGAGTTCTAATTCATTTTCTTATTACTTATTTCTACAAATGTTGCATATACAGTGACTTTTCTTTTATTAGGTTGGCTTCCATTTTAGAATGGCTTTTTACAATTTTTTTGGATGCTATATTGCATTACTAATTTCTGCTTCTAATGTTTTATTTCTGTCTTGTTCATGCACGTGCAGTTCTATCAGTCTCTTCAATTTTGTTGATTGAGCACAAATGAATTATACCTGATTCCCATTCTGTTTTATTTGAATCTTGTTATCTTCTGGTATAAATTACCTTTTGAGGGCTTCATTTGGCCTGGGAACAATAAGTGTGCTGAAGGGGTAAAGAGAAAGAAGTAGAAAGCTGAAAGGATGTGGGTGATATGTTGTGCTGCAAATATTATAGATGCCCAGTATCGATCACATCCTCCTCCTACTATACCTTCCTGTATGGCCCAGGCAGGAAAGCTAAAAATTACATCTCTAGCACTTCCTGGTAGATGGTCTGGGCTTGACCAATTACATGCACTTAGCCAAGATGTAAATGTGTAGGGAGGCATTCATTTTGCTGGTACACACCACAGCAGACATGGCATTGCTGGTCCTCATCATAGCTAAGGCGGTATATTACTAGAGCCAACAGTTCTGGTGGTGACTTTCTAATTTCTCCAGTGTGCGTATAACTTCGTATAATGTATGCTATCCGAAGTTATTACGAGCATCAATGCAGAAATATCTCTTCGAGACCCTGCTTTTAATTCTATTGAGTATATACCCAGAAGTGGAATTACTGGATAGATCATATGGTAATTCTATTTTTAATTTTTTGAGGAACTGTCATAATGTTTTACACAGTGGTTATACCATTTTATGTTCCCAACAACAGTGCACAAAGGTTCCAATTTCTCCACATCTTCACCAAGACTTGTTATTTCCTGTTTTTTATTTTTTAATGGTAGTCATCCCAGTGGATGTGAGGTGGTATCTCATGGTAGTTTTGATTTGTGTTTTCCTAATGATTAGTGATATTCAGCATCTTTTCATGTGAATCTTGGCTGTTTGTATATATTCTTTGGAGAGATGTCTATTCATGTCCCTTGCCCATTTTTGAATTGGGTAATTTATTTTTTCTTGTTGTTGTTGAGTTTTTGGAGTTCTCTATATATTCTGAATACTAATCTCTAGTCAGATATATGATTTGCAAATATTTTCTTCCATTTTGTGGGTTGCCTTTTTACTCTGTTGATATTGTCTTTTGATGCACAAAATTTTAAAATTTTCATGAAGTCCAGTTTTTTTTTTGTTTTCACTTATTAACTATTATGAATAATGCTGCTATGGCTTCTGGCCAAAATGGTGGAATAGACAGTCCCCAGTGTCACTCTCTCCCACAAATCAACCAATTTACAACTATTAAAAAGCAACGACATGGGCCGAGCCCGTGGCGCACTCGGGAGAGTGCGGCGCTGGGAGTGCAGCGGCACTGTTAGCACCGAGGCCGCTGGTTCGGATCCTATATGGGGATGGCCGGTGCGCTCACTGGCTGAGAGTGGTGTAGACCACACTGTGCTGAGGGTTGTGATGCCCTTACTGGTCAGGAAAAAAAAAAAAAAAAAAAGCAACGACAGCAAAGCTGGGGCTGCTAGAGATCAGGGGAAGAGGAGAAGAGACCTACGGAGTGCACGAGGGTGGGAGAAGCCATGATGAGAGAAAGAAAGAACTGCTCCAACTGTTTTGAGCCCTGCTTCCAGGCTGGAGCTGTTGAGAGCTGCAGCTGTGCCGTTTGGATGAAGTTGCTTGTAGGCGGCCGGGGAGAAGAGGGTCTTGGTGACCGCCAGGCCGGCAAGACCTCTAATAGGGTTTCCGTGGGCCCACGTAGAAGCGAGAAGCCACAGTAACTGAAAAAATGGAACCACTTAGAGGCTGGTGAGTCATCACAAGGGACTGGTGCATGGCCTGTCCCATGGGAAGTGGTTGGCATAGACAGTGGGGGAGACAGGCCCACTGGGAGAACACTGGGGTACAGAATTAACAGCTGATCTGCCCCCCACTCAGCGCAGGACCACTCAGTGGAGACTGGTCAGGAGTATAGAACTGCAGGGGGTGCAGTTTGCTGAAAAGACTCAGGACCAGACCAGAGTTTCTACACAACCCAGGTGAACCAGATTTCACTAGACCTGGAAGTATCTGTAAAGTCAACCATTAAAACCTGAGCTGCACAAAAAGCCTTCCCTAGGAAATCAGCAGCAAAGCAGCGATTTAGCATAACAGAGCTCAAGTACTGGTCCCCACAGGAATTTCTCCCATTTTAGAAGCAAAAGATAACAAATTAGTTCCAGTACAGAGTTTAAGTGGTAGGAAGAGCAAATAATCCAACACAGAACTGAAAGAAAAAACAAAATACCTATAGACCAAAAACAAAGTTTGATATTAACTAGTAAAGTTTGATATTAACTAGTAAAGTTTGATATTAACTAGTCTCGCATCACTGAAGAACACCCATAAAACCTAGAAGGACTGGAATTCCCCTGGGCTACAAAGCCAGGGAGAAGGGAGGGCTTGGGGCTTCACCCATGCCCCCCAACACCCGCAAGCAGCCCAGTGACAGCCACCAAGCTGCCATAGGAAGTACCCTGGGTTCTCCGAGCCAGGGCAGTGGGGGGCCTCAGGCTTTGGCCGTGCCCTCCTAACACCCATAACCAGCCCAGCAATGACCACCAAGCCAATGCAGGAAGTACCCTGGGCTTTCTTGAGTGGGGGTGGTGGTGTCCAAAGTCCTTGGCCACGTCTCTCCAGCTCCTGCATCCAGCCCAGTGATGACCACCAAACCACTGCAAGAAGCTCCCCAGCCTCCTGAGCTGGGGCAATGGGTGGTGAGGGCTTCAGCCACACTCCCCTGACATCTGCACCCAGCCCAGCAGTGAACAAGACCCACTGGAAGACCCTTGGTCTCCCCTGCAGCAATGAGGGGGGTGCCACAGGCCTCAACCCCACCCTTCCTCCTTCCTCCTCCCACCCTATTTCCTTTCCCCTTCCCCTCTCTCCCTCCCCCCAACTGTTCCACAACATCACAGAATGTAATTAATAAATAATTAATAAATAATATTAATAAATAAACTTAATATTAATAAATAAACTTAAAATTTTTTTAAAAAAGAAACAACATTCAAAATGATATTAATGATAAAGAAATACGTTGTCCCCCATAATGGAAGTCCAGAGGTAGGAAGATTCAATATGATCAGGTTCAATATGATCAGTTGCTCAGTGATGTCATCAAGAACAAAGGTTCTTTATGTTTTTCACATGTGCTATCCCCTACTCCTTCCTTTTATGGCCACAAGAGAGGCTGCCTGTGATAATTAGGGCCTTATGCTTCTTTGTTTATGCCTGAATATGGGGATGGGGGAGGTAGAAAGGCTTTCTTTTCTTTCCTGTAAGTCCTGAATAAATTTCTGCATGCTTCCCATTGACCCAGATCATCTGCCACTTCTGCATTATTCACTGTCAGGGTCTTCCTGACTGATAACAAATGGCTTTAACTAACTGTCAGAGTAGAATCACTGTTGGGGAATCAATGCCAATGCGGGTTAGAGTCATTCTACCTTTCCTTTAATTTCCTCTCTGTGTTATCCCAGCTTTTTTTCCAGCAAAACCGGAACACGATAGGAAGTTCTAAACATCTTTTTCTTTGGGATCAAAGGTGAATCAAAATGGCTTCTACTCTTCTGGGAGTTTTATCTCCTTCCGATATGCATAGACCTTCTCTCATACTAAGATTAGAGATGTTTGTGAGGAATTTTAGGATCTCTGTGACTGTTTATCACAACCAACAACCCCTTATTCCCACCCCTACAAAGAGCTTCTGGATATAGTGGAGTTTCAAGACACAGTGAGCTGCCCAAGGCTGTGCAGATTCTTAGAAATTTCCATCTCTTTTTTTGGCAATTGCCTTTTATATATTTTTTCCTGGTATTAACTTGATTGGTGTTCATGTTATTTGGCTTTGGAAAGATATTTTGAAAACTGGTTTCACTTGAACATTTTACCTCAAAATTCTGAAACTTAAAATATCTTTTCACTATTGACTTCCAGATTGATTGCATTTTGGCCAGTGGACATGATGTGTAGAATCTCAGATATTTGGAAACTAGACTGTCAACATGACCTAAAAGATTATCATTTTTTAAAAAAGATTTCATGTGTACTATTAAGTACAATACATTATCTTCTCTTATTGTTTGTAAGTGTCCATATCTATCTATTATTCAGTCTTATTAATTACATCACATAGATCCTCTCTATTCTCGGGGTGTGCATGTGTGTGTGTGTGTGTGTGTGTGTGAGTGTGTGTGAGTGTGTGTGACTGTGTGTGAGATCTGTTTCAGAGTGAGACATGTGTTGGCCTCTCTGCTTCCTTTCAACTCAGAATCCAGGGACTTCCAAGCAGTTGTTCCCAGGGAGGGCAAAAGTTCCTTCTTTTTTTAAACCTGAGTCTTTGTACATTCTTGCCTAGGCATAACTGTCAATCCATATACCCAATTCACAGTATAAAACAGAACAGTTACTGATCTGCTGAATCTGTTATATTTATAGCACTGAACAGTTTTCTCCAAGAGTATTAGACTTTGTGTAATTTCAAGGTAACTAGCCATGATTTTTCCAAAACAAAGGTAGTCTCTTTCAAAGTAATAGACTCTTCACCTGTGGAAAAGTAAACTTCCATTGGCTCTTAAATGACTGTGCCTTTACTTAAGAGAAAACAATAACCATAAAAACAGAATATCTTTTCATATACATCTAAGTAACTTACAGATGTGAATTTTTCTTTTTCTTAGATATGCACATAATGGTTTTGGAGGGAGAGTTAACTCAGTTGGCTCAGATTCGACCATTAATATTCAGTTCTCATGAGAAATCAGCCATCAAGGATTGTTTGAAAATGCTTCAGAAAAAATTAGCAGCATATGATATCATCCAGGAGTTTGTGGTAAGTATTTTGGTCTTAACAAAAGTCTATATGTGATTTCTTGTTCTATATCATTACCAGAGTGTTTCTGTTCTTTCCCTTTCCTTGCTTTTCTTTTTTTTTTTGGATTGAGTACATTGCTTTTATTTTTGAATATTATATTTTAAAGTAATAGGTGTACATGGTAAAAAAAGTTAAATAGTATAAAAGGGTATGGAATGGATAGAAAATTTCTCTCCCTCTCTCTACCTAGACCTCCTAGGGTCTCTCTTTACTATTAAGTTTGTCATGTAAATGTCCAGGGAAATTGTTGGCATGTACTTTATTCACAATTCTACACTTTACAATTTATTTTCACATAATATGTAATTTCCAAATATATTTTCGGCATATGTAGCTGTATTTCATTCTTTTAAAGTGTTGCATGGTAGTTAATTACATAGATAAATATCTTAATTTCTTTAGATAGTTCCCTATGTTGGACATTTAGATTGTTCTAGTCTTTGCTATTATGAACAGCAGTTATCCCTCTTTATATGCCTGTGCATATGTGTGAGTATTTTTTAGGATGTATTCCTAGAAAGACAATTCCTATTTTGTGCTATCAAATTTTTGGATCATTGTTCATCTCTTAAATGACAAATGATTTCTTGTTCATGATCTAATTGGCATTTGTTATTTAAGAACAAAGGAATGTCTTTCCATATGTATTAAGCCTTTCATATTTACTTTCAGTGAACTGCTAGTTGCCTAACTTTCTATTTATTCCTTTTCTTATTGATTAATAACTTTATATAATGAAGGAATTATCCATTTGTGTGTTTTATATATAGTAAATATTTCTGCTGTTGTGTTACACATGTGCAAGTGTACACACACACACACACACACACACACATATACATACACACACCTATTTACCATGAAGAAATAGCTAATTTTTAGTGATCAAATATGACAATCTTTTCTTTTAGAACTTCTGGGTTTTCTTTGTTCTTTAGGAATGTCTCTTTCACTCTAGCATCATAATATATTTCATGTCTTTTTCCCTAGTACTTTTATGAT